TTATTTATATTATGCTGATTTATGTACTCGCTGCAAGTTTACGCGGTCGAAGCCCTTTCAACTGAGCTTTGCGCTTGATTGATAAGTTTATTTATAAACCATGAATCATTTATTGACAAACCCAGAGGTCAACAACATTATTGTATTTGATTTTGCTTGTTTCTCAATAGAAATATGCAAAATAATTTTAAAATTTAGTCTATTATTATGCCGTAGCATAATTTAACATTAATGATCCGATTTTGAGTTTTAATTGTTTGTAACTGTGCAACAAACATAAACTTGCCGCCATATTTGCTAAAACGCGGGAGGAGGTCATTGAACTGACCGCGGCCATTTAGCCCCCTGCAAAGGAATGCTAATTTTACGTAAATATTTTTATTAGGTCATCCACATGTAGATTACATTCAGAATAATTTCACAATTCGACACCAACGAAGCTTTATTTTTATTTTATCTAAACAAAAAATCCCCTTAGGTTTATTTTTTTTTATACATAATGTGTAGGTGTCATTAATTTTTTTTCTGTATACCAGAACACATGACAATGTTATTTTTGTAAAGATTTATCAGTATTTTTTTACATTGGAATCCTTCCTGTTGGGATAGATAATGATGGTAGTTAGTCCCTGACGTCACAGGCGATCTAGTGGGTATCACTTTACAACGTTATCGAAGTATAAGCTTTTTGTTAAGTAGTTACTTAGACATGGATCGTTCACTATGGTCTGGTTATCATGCAGTAGCCAGGAACAGAGATAGACGAACTTATTTAACTTTTCATTACCTACTTTACAACTATTATTATACAATTGTTCTTGTACGTTTATTTAAAAACATGATTCTTTCATCATGTTTATCTTTCACAGTGTTTTGGGCATAATAACTTCTCTGTTACTTGTTAGTGCTAAAACGTGGGAATAAAATATCACCTTTCATGAGAAAAGATGACTAACAGATGACTGGTCACGAAAAACCATTTAGCGGAAACCAGGGTCATTGTTTAGTGACATTGTTCAGCCTATCAGCATCCATCAAACTCCTGTCACACATTACTATGCGTTAACACTTTGAATGTACAGCATAATGAACTTTGAAACAATTAGAGGCGGCTGATCACGGCAGATGTGCGGTGAATTACCTGGCAGCGAGCAGTGATGCGGAAACTCAGCGCTGTTCTCTAAATACCATCATTATAACGGTCCCAGTCTAGACAAGAGAAAAACTGTATCAGGAACCATTTTTTTATCGATCTATAATCAATTTGGCGCTAATTGCCGAGCTTTACGGCCTTTCTGTTGGTTCCCGCATTTCGTGTTCGGTTCGGTTTACTTTGTAGATTGAGATCGTGTCTATTTGATTGGTTTGTGCAATGTTTTATTTTGTTTTATGAGACAGGAACATTAATTTCCTGCGCAGACATTGTATCGCTTGTCATGTTGTATGGAGCAGTCTGAGGAAGAGGAGTGTCTTTCATTGTTTGACTTAGAGCCTGTAAGGTAAGGCAATCACTCACATCACTGTACATCACAAACTGTAGCTGACTAATCACAAATTACTTTCTGCGAAACACAAACCCATTTCAGTGCTAGTCTTTGTTTGAAAGTGTCAATGAGTAACGCGGTCACAGACTGGCTACTCATTAAGCCATGTTTTGTGTGTTAGATGCCAAGTGAGGCACGTACGCCTCAAGCCAGTGTACAGACTTTGAGACTTTACACATGTCCTATAAGCACTAAGTCAGGCGGTGAATCATCGCGATGTACGGATAGTGTTACAGTATCACTGCACTGCGGTCGTCTTTACTTGCTTGTGAAGCTAACTACAAGTGTCAACACGATCACAATAATGTTCTTTAGATTTAAAATTGTCAAATGTCTTACAGTGCAAGTACAATCAGGTCATACAGGTAATACGTATTGCCGTATTTTTAAATGATACAAACATAACAAGATTTGAATGAAGAAAATCCAATGCATAAGAATAGACTAACCACATTGTTATTTATAAAGGATTTCATAGAATCCTCTAACAAAGTAATGCTGTGGCAATTTAGTCTGCTTTGTACACTAATGGATATTACAGTAGGGAATAGGCAAGTCTAAACAAATAGATTGATTGTCCTACCAACATGACATCAACTGGGTTCCTCCACAATAGGTAGGCGTGCCTGCCCAGATGTATCAACATACAACAATATCCAAGTACTTACGAGCTACTGAGTATATTGTGAAACATTGTGCGCAGTTTTAGCAGAGGCACTGATACTGGCTTCCTATTATTCTAGATTGTCTATCAATTGTAATTATTCCAACGTAAATGAAAATGTTTATCAATATTTTAGACACTGACATTAATATACATACGAGTTTTGAGTATGTTTCATCAATGTACCAAATGCGAATTATTTAAATTTTCATAAACCCTTGAACCTCCCGGTTTCAAATGGACTGCTCATTAGATTACCACGTTCAATCTGAAACAAAGTCATCAGCATTTGATTGCATATTATATTTACTAGGTACAAATAATAATGGCAAACACAGTGTAGCAAAAACATCGTACAGTGCGAGGTTTGCAAACTGCGCGTCAATATCTGTCATCTACATCTAGATAGCATCCGCTTTCTCGGGAAGCTCTCTGTGTACAGTAACCATTTACTTTCTAATACAAACAAACAGTATATTGTTTACATACACTCTTAGATAATGTTTACACAAACAGACCGCGTATTATATTAGTTTATGGACTCTATACTCGAAATAATAAACAGACGAATAACGGCACAACTATAAGATGGCTGCCTTTTCTACTAACTCAAAACATCGAAGTAATCCTCTCATAATATAGAATGGAATTTAGCTCATTAACTGCTTATTCGATCGATTTTAATGAAATTCGGCTGGAGACAGTAAATCAATCGGTATCTTTTAATGCACAAATATAACTTAAAAAACAAAAATGGGAGATATAGAACTGAGTGGGTAAGAAGCCTTTGCAATTTCCATCTAAATAGTGGCAGTAATTGCTGTATTTACGTCAATGCATATTCATAAAAACAAATAAGGGAAATCTGTCGTAAACATTTACTACAGAAGGCTTATTGCCTTATGGAGGTTATTCTGCATAAACCAAAGGAGTTCTGTTCATGATTGCCACGGGCGCACCTTGACATGGCCGCTCATTAGATACTAAAACTTCTCAGTAGGTAATAATTTTCTATTTAAGCACCACCTTGTAAATGAAGCCCCAACTGTAAGTGATGAACTGCTATTTATTTTGACTGCAGTTCTTACGTAGTTTCCTAGTCTTTCAATGTTTAAATATCTACAATTTGTCGTATGATTTGTTTTCAATACATTGACTAAGATATTTTGGAATGCAGCAGTTGATAAGTATCAGTGCTTCATATCGTTTTGGAGTGCTATCTATCTTCCCTTTTATCTGCGTTGCACTGTAGGTCACCGTTGTGGTATGTGCCCAAATCTTGACCTTGGCCGAGTTAGCCACGGTGTGATTCCTGCTTCCTACGCTACGATCACAAATCACAATAAATAATGAAGCTACAAATGTCAATCAACAATCACAACAACGTAACTTCATTGACGTGTGGCATGCGGCGCGGGCGCACCTCTGCGTGTGCGCAAGTAACACTATACGGACGAGGCGCGGTGGCTTTGACCTAGTCAGACCTTGGGCACCTTGGGCTTCCACCGTGACGGCTGCATCCTGCCAGCCTGCAGCCGCGCGTCGCCTGACCCGAAGCATATTTTTGTTTTATTATTATTGAAAGGTTTTAATATTAATTACGATCGTGAGATCATCTTCATATTTGATGCATTCATTTACATGAAAGCTACCGACTGTATTGAATGTGTATTCAATTGGTTTATGGACAATGGCGGCGTGGTCTAACGAACAGAAACCTGATGTTTATTGCCTTTTAACCTCATATCGCAGCAGTTAGTTCAAGTTTCGTTCATTTCCATTTATTCTCGTGTATGGGCGATATGTTCTCATCTTGTACCTACGTGATCATGCATAAATTTAAATTGAATTTTAATGAAGTAGTTAATACTGCTATAATTTAGTTAAGATTGAGTTGTTCGTAAAACTGGGTAATACTTCTTGTATTAGGATGGTCACCAAACCGTCCGTGCCTTCGAAATAACAATCCGATCTCTTAATCAGGGAATCTAAATCGTAATAAAATAGCAAAATGGGTAAATACGGAAGCTGGTCAGATAATACCGGAGGCGGGTAATCTCGACACACACTCGGTAAAATACTCGTAAAATAGGGCAACTGCTCGTCTAAACCGGAATGATGACCCTCCAGATAAGCCTATAGTATCAGATGCGTGAAGAAGATTAACTGGTAATAGGACAGCTTGGCAGATTGCTAAGTAGTAATACTAACGACTTGTTGAACATACTACCTTGTTTTGCAACTATATGTAGTAATCTTAAGATATCTTCTTGATAGGCAAAAATTGTAAACTTAATGTAAATCTAGCCAGTAGGAAGTATTTATTAACATGACAAGCTCAACTTTACTTTCTTAGATAATAACTATCTATCTTTCTTAATATATTAAATTATTTAAGACAAGATTGAATTAGTCGATAATCTATGGCTCATATTTTTCCTTCTACCAGATTTAGTGGTAGAATAAGTACAATTGTTACAGATTACTTCCCTGGCTACGTAGTGGCGGTTATTGTCTCTGAAACAAATGAGCTGTCAGACTGTGATGAACGGCTCTTGCTTTATTTGCGTCCTGCGAGACAAATGAATTGTTTCCTCACAGATTTCGCGGTCGTCATCTTTCATATCAACCGACGCTAAAGTACTCTCCGACTTGTTTTATTATGATACTGAATACTTTTGATTGTTCTCGTATTTGGACTTTTCATTTGGGAAATTATTATGACAAATGTATAATGTTGTTTTAAACAGTAACAGTATCTTATGAATGTTTCTTCTTCCACAGAGTAAAACATGAACGGCCATAGCAACGGCGACATGAACGGTGCAGGAGACATCATCACGCAGAACCAGCAGCGCGGCTGGTGGACCATCGGGCTGATCAACTCGCGCTACCGGTACCTCACCGCTGAGACCTTCGGCTTCAAGATCAACGCCAACGGAACCAGCCTCAAGAAGAAGCAGATATGGACCTTGGAACCTGCTTCAGGAAATGCTAACGACAGTGAGTTACTTTTATTTAACTATCTTTCATCATTGTCTTTCACTGAACAACTTGATAGATACAGTATAAAATAGTGAAAACTTACTTTTTCTTAATTGAAACTGAAATGTTAGTTAAGCAAAATAAGGACTCGATCATGTAGAAATAGAATACATAGTAATAAAGACGACGGGCCATCTGATTATATCTACTACACTCGCTAGGGCAGATAAGTGCTATTAGTTATTATGGCTCACTGGAATAGATAATCCGATATTCCGGGAATTTAGTTATCATCCTTCCAATAGACTAGTGAAACAGATCGTTCACGGATACTTCAGTGCAGTAGATAGCCGGCCAGTGATGGGCAATGTAAAGGATCCCAGCAATTTGTAATGTTGCTCGGTAAATTGTGATTCGCTACGTGTCTCGGTTAACGAGTCGTATCCCAAGGAATATTGGACGGAACCATTTTACGCCGTGTTAAATGTAGCACTCCATTGGTACATCAAATCGATTTCTATCCGATTTTTGTTTGGTTTTCCTTGTGTTGCTACATCTAATTAGTCATTCTTTTATACTAGGTCGTTATTATATTCATTAGTATTTTTCCCGGTATAACTCTTAAATTGTTGAGTTTGTTAACCCAGCCAGCCAATAAGTAATCTATTCAACTAAAATTCCATTCTAGGAATAATGAATTGAATTTTATTAGCCATTTATTATGCCTGTCCTAACTGATAAAATTCAGACAAAGCTACTTTAAGACCTTATTTTTGTGTTGGTATACCAAAAAATGGCCCTCTTCGTACATAAATATGAAATTCAACATATCGCACAGGTTTATATAAATTCTATACGATTGTCCTTTAACTGGCATCAGCACGTTGAACCTAACCGGGTCCGAGATCATTAGTAATCCTGTAGCAATCTATGGTCTGACTCACCTCAGGTGCTATTCTTTTTTAAAGTGTCCACTTCCTGTCTACCCAGTGCCTACAACCTAAGGAGCTAACATATTACTGTTAGGAAACAACATTAGAAACTTAATTGTTTTGTCCTTATAAGGGTGTTATGTACAGATTAAGTTTTAATTACATTTATAAAAGCAGGACAACTTTATCGAAAATATGCCTGTAATTAAAATAATTGATATGAGTTGCCCTTTTGAAGGAATGATCAGATTATAATATTCTTGCATGTAATCAGTCCATCAAAATGTTAACTGGTGTCATTAAACATGATGCCTGTACATTTCTCTATATAAAACGTAGGTCTGTCCCTACTGCGACGATTTTGTCGCGCTCCCCCTCTGCCACTAATTGTCGCAAAAAGTCCCCTGCACACGAGCCCTTAATTACTCCGGTGTGCATAGGGCATGTCGCGAGATACACACGGAGAATAGGGCTGAAACAATTGTTTACTAAAATGAGTCCCAAATATAGTTTTATGAAGGATTTTGCACAAAATTGCTTTTCAATGAGGTTATATAGAATTAATTATCATGACTGCACCTAAGAAAAAGTTAATTCGGGTGATTGAAGGTTTTAATGTGCTATTAAGTTTTAGCTAGAAATGCTATCTGATCCTCGTGACAAACATTCAATGAGGAACACATCTTCTCAATTTTATTCTCCACTAAACACACTCCATTAAAAAAAGTGCTGTCAAACACAAATATTCTTAGTTATAATATTCATCCAAAATAAATCTGAGTACTCGTAGTTAATCATGATGTCGTAGTTCCCTCCGCACAAAGCATTTGTGTTCAGTTCATATGGTTGTAGACTTGTATGGTATTACTGCCGCCCTAGTGATTGTCAAATTGCGATCCAATCAGAGGGTGGCTCCCCTACTGCCAACTTTCAAGGTTTACCAGCTGGCACACACCTGATCGATGTCATATCCCTCGCGACTCATTTGCTTTCGATAATATTATTTACTCTACACTTCATATTTAGAGCTTATTTTTCGTTTTCGTTATTGAAGTTTTCAACATTATAACAATACAACTATCGACAATAGTTCTAACCCCTTATTACATGGGACTTTTATCTTCCTCTTACTAGAGATAAGGGCGTGGTACTAATTTGCGTACCCCATCCTATCCCTTTGGAGTACCTATGAGAAGCATATTATATATACTACGTCATTTAAGCCTGTAAAACCTACTATAATTACGCCATATAAGATTAAACTTCTAACATCCTGAATGATAATGACTACTAGGTATACAGCTCTCGATCGGTAGCAGTGTGGGCAATAACGTTAATATAATTTAAGCGACACGGTATTTAATAGAGCTTACAAGAGCTTAATTATCGCATATGGAAAATGATCGCATTTTTATTGAAGCGAAAATATGCAGTTATAAATATAGTATAGTATAGTAGTTATAATTATAGTATAGATTGACTACACAATTATTATCTAATAATCGCGGGTTACTCACGTTAATATACTGAGAAAGCTCTACTAGTTTCAAGCCACAGAGGGGCTCTTCCTAATGAGCAGAGTGCGCGGTCGCGGCAATGCCTACTGGCTACTGAAACTAGCAGAGCTTTTCTCAGTATATTGACATGAGTAACCCGTGATTTTTAGTTAATTTAGTATGTCTCACGATAGTTATTATAACAATTATTAACTAAAACTAGACTACTCTTAAGTATATAACATCGTCTTCTAATATAAGTTGTAGTTTAATGATCGTCAGACTACAAAGTCAGAAGTTTAAGGCTTGGACTCAGGTTGCTCATGTGTGTTATGCTCGGAGATAGTAATAAATAGCGTGTGACCTGACCCTCACCATCATATCGCCCACAAGACGTCCACTGCAGAACATAAACCTACCCTATTGTGCAACAGAAAGTAGTTCGATTAGTTCTCTATTAAGATTAGCCGTTGTAATCACGATTGATTAGGAAACTCTATTAAACTATTGTAGTAAGATCGCTTGACGGTACTGTGATCAGTCGGCACGTGTTCCGAGTTTCAGTGGCGCATGGCGGCGCGATCAATCTCTGTTATCTCACGTACTACCGGCTCCGATTAAAGCTTTTTACTTAAACAGTTAAGTGGCCGAACGAACTAGTGCTTCAGTATTGAGGTTAGCTTGTTTTGCGGTCTATCTCTCGGTTCATTACAGGAAAATACTTATCTTTAGGTTATAATGTCTCTTTTATTGCGAGTTAATCTAAAACATCCTCCTTTCTCTCGCAATAGTTGTTACAAAATATAACAATGATAAATTGTATACACTCAATTTTTTGCGCTTCTTTTTATTTGACGATCATTCTTGGGTTTTCCTTGTAATCATTCCCTTGTGTCGACTCAACTGTTAGTATTAAACTGACCATGTATTTGTGTTGTCCAGGTATGATCTACCTGCGGTCCCACTTGGACAAGTACCTGGCGGTGGACTCGTTCGGTAACGTCACCTGCGAGTCGGAGGAGAAGGAGCCTGGCAGCAAGTTCCACATCAGGTAATAAATGATAAACTGTTAATAGAATATAAAAAAAAATCAATAATAATAATCAAAGGACGAAAAGGTATCAAATGATTTCAGTCTAACAAAAAAATTATAACATACAGAATCTCCATAATTGGCAGAATATTAATCTACTTGTATATATATATAAGTTAACAGACATAGAAATAACACACAGTCTGCGTGTTAATCTCGCACTTACACATCTCACAATAGCCCGTACTGCGTAAAAAGAGTTCTTATTTTTACCACATTAAGGATCTGACAAAATTGTGTACAAACTCTGAATCTAAATACTTGACGAATAGGTAAAACATCAAAGGCTTCTCATTTTTCTCGACACTCGTGACTACATGCACTATATACACAAAGTGGTATCTTCTCATAAATAAACAAGCTCTGTACATTTCAGTCAGCGTTATTAAAATTCATCAGATCGTGTCAGTTTGCGCTAATGTTAACGAGACCCAACAATTCTCGGAAACAAGAAATAAATCTCGTGTAAAAAGCTTTTGTTAAAACTTGTTCACCATCGTCAGATTCATCAGTTTAGTTTTCATTACTGGATTATACATAGACTTCTTAAACAGTGTGTCACTGAGGTTAATCTTCAGGTTTTGGTATGTAGCTTCTTACGGTCATTGGGGAATCTGTCGCTTTACTTATCTAGACTTGGCCCTACGCTCCGTTGTCTGTTTTACTTCAAAACATGTCTATCCCAACGGTCTTCGGTTTTGCAATGTGACCGACTCAACGCCACTTTAGCTTGCTAATCCTACGTAGCTAAAGCAACAAAGCCACAAAGTCTATATTAAAACTTGTTAAACGTATATCGATATAAAAGTAATCTAGACAAGAATCTATACTGATCAGACGATGGTATCGCAGGGACCCGTGTTCTGTCTGAGACACTATACAACGTACCCTCGCCACTCGCGCATACTAATGTCTAATCCTTCTGACTCACCGGAACTGAACGCCAACGCTCATAGTTTTCTTTTTATATTTACTTTATTACCAAACGATTTATAATATACGACATTTGCTGAATGATAATAAAGAACTTGATAGTGAACGTGACGGGGGGAACTCGCCGTCGTATGCCGTATCCTAAAGGAATCTTTGAGTCACAAAAAATAAGCATTATATTTTGCCGCAGTTTTACATTCGGGGTGACATTATAACAGGGATATGTAGTAAATTAATCACTATATTTATATCCAATGAAGTGTCGTTCGGGCAATGTAATGACGCCATGTTCAGTGAACTTTCAGGAGAAAACAAACCCTGAGTCACACTGCGGGCTCTGCGGAGTGACTTTCAAATAAAAGGGATGAAATGTGACTCAAACCCATGACTCAGCACACACAAATAACGTTCGGATTCTCGTAAGATATACCACGCTTGGCCACTACCGTACTACTGTTTGCATTCGTACAAGTATTGAAAGACATCGAATGTGCATCACCCAAAGGTCCGACTGGGAGATAATGCCTGCGGCATTAAGTCCACCTTACGTACACTTTGTGCATGAAGCCTAAATAAATAAATGTTCCTATAGAAGCATAGAAATTGTACCGCTGCGCTCGAACTTACAGGAATGAACGGCTTCTCCTACGAAGTTGGACACTTGTAAAGCTTCACAAAACATTTTAATGTAGTTCTGAAGCACGTTGGTCCTAACCGGAGGTAACCCCAAAAATATTGATCTTTCAATACACAACACACCGGAGCATTCAGAGGGGAGCGAATGAGGGTGCAGACGAGACGACCGCACAGGACATTCAACCTTAACTGTCTGTGATAGCGTATAATTCAGCCTGAGGACGAAAAGGTTATATGAAGGTTGTCAGGCTGGTAACAGGCGCGTGCCAAACTAACGTCTTTAAATTGTTTTGAAGGGCCTCGGGATTGTTAGGGAAATTATTATTATGTAAGCACAGTTGTTGTTGACTTAGGATGACCTGCCTGAGATAAGGGTAAGATATGCAAATCAATGTAAAAAAATATTTATTTAACAACCGAGAAAGGCTCTGTTGTTATAAGATTTGTTTGTTATTTATTCACTTCGCTAACAACAGGCCATTCATCATTTGACAGGAACACTTCTCATTTGCATTTTATCACATACACTCTATTTAGTTCAAAATCGGTTGTGTAGAAGATAAGGTTTCTGAAAGGTCACAATAACTTTGCCAACTAAATTCTGTTTGCCAGTAAATACCAAAATTCCCATTTCCCTCGCTGTTCGAAGTGCAAAACTGCAAATCCTTTGTGCAAAGCGTTCAGCCGTTTAGAACAGAAATGTCGCGTTCAAACGACTGCATTCTGATGCAAATGTCAGACGTTACTCGGTACACGCACGACCGCTGCAATTGTAAATGTTTACCCATTGACATTTTAATTATGGATTATTATTTAGTTGCTATTGTTACTTGCACTTAAAATTATTTAAAACTTCCCAGACAAATATTTTTAATACCTATTGTTGTATGTTAAAAGTTTGCATTTATTTCAACACATTTTTCGTTTTTGGTACTTAAATGGTTCGAGTAAAAGCCAGTGCGGATTAGATGGAATAATTTAGAAGCCATAAAACATACGCTCGGCGTAGACACATCGCTGCATTCCGTAGTGCATTGCGATACGTTCCAATAATTTAGTAAATTATATTTATGTTATATAGTCACTTTATTGTTATTACTTATATCCGTACACAGATTATAAATCTTAAATTATTTAGGTGAAGTCAATGATTTTATCAGCTCGTTGAAAAGAAATTGCGTGTAAAAGAACTGGCAAACTGACTGAATTTACAGTTTCTTTCCCCCATATAAACACTTCAGTAGAGCAGTCTTATAATAATTTAACATGCATGCACTTAGACGCGCTCTTAAAATAGCGTTTCCTTTATTTTTAGAATAAGGATATTATCAGTGTACTCTGGGTACTTTTGACCTCTCGATACGAGCACCATCGTGTCTTACTATCTCCATTACTGTTCTGTTCTATTCCCAATAATTAACTTTAGTGTATGTCAGGATAAATCCTTACTCGACTAACGATCGATAATAATAACCAATCGCAGTCTCACATCTTTGATCTGGGGATGATGATTAAATTGAATTTCTGTCAAAAACTTTGATAGATATAGAGTTTTCTGGTTAAGATCACTTATTAATTTCGAAAGTAAATGTCTATCAATTACGCAATCCCATCAGCACAGCGTCAGTACTGATTTTGATGCAACCACCTACGTAACACAACAACAAAAGACAATCGTCGTTTACCCCCCAGTCTTGTAGTGAAGTGGTGGATTAAAATGCACCTCATACAGAGAGGGTTGTCCCCTAGTCGTGTTACGTATTACGTCTTGAGACTTAAAGAATAATCATTATGATGCACAGACGTTTATCCTGTCTTTATTGAACTTTATACGACTCAGACTAATTTATCTTTGTTGAACAATCCTAAGCATTCGCCGCTCACCGCCCAATAATCCCTTTGTTTATACCACTAATTAAATAATTGCACGGCATTCCTAATTGGCGACATGGCGACCGCCTCGCCGCCGCTTTTTCCTCGAAGCGATTCAAGACATCCATTGTAGAATAGAAAATAAACCCCAGGAATATAGTGTTTATTCCAAAGTGTATAAAGTTTGTATTTAAATGCAGGTGTGTTATAATTTGTGATGGAAAGTGTTCATAAATGTATATGAATCGGATCGCTTTCATGCTCATTTTGTGAATTAATGTGGTGGAATCAAAATGCGTACGTCTTTGAATGCGTCGCGTCGGTGAGATAATTAATAAGCTGGGGCTTACAATAACTGCAGACAGACAGATGTACCGAAATAAAACGTTTATGGCAATTAAGGGATATTTTTGAACGTATACGGTTAAACCCATAGATGTAATAAAGAAGAACGAAGAAAGAAGAAATGTAATGAAAAAATATTAGACACGTCTTCTTCTTCATTTTCGGAATTGTTAAAGGCTTTGTAGGAACTAAATAGTGTTTTACCATCCTGCGGAAATATGCTTTAATTAATTCCCAGTACATTGTACAATGCTTTATGTTATTTATCACATGTTTTGTGTGCAGTGTGTCAGACGACAACAGCGGGCGCTGGGCGCTGCGCAACGTGGAGCGCGGCTACTTCCTGGGCTCCAGCTCGGACAAGCTCACCTGCACCGCCAAGGTGCCGGGCGACGCAGAGCTCTGGCATGTACACCTTGCCGCCAGGCCTCAGGTAAACACAACGTTCACTCTCATGAGACGGAAGGAGATGTCGTTCATTACCTATTGATAAAAGACCTTCTTTCTAACGATCTGGTTTTGAGGTTGATGTCCCCAAAAAATTAAAAGATGCTGCTAACTATCCCTCCGGTAATTTTAAGCAGATTTAAAACATAATAAATGTACTTACATAACTGCAGTCGTTTAGATATTGCGAGTTTCGTAAGATTTTTATCTGTTTTGTTATAAAATTTCTTTTTTATAACGACTTCCCGAATCGCAGGAAACGAAACTTCCTAGCTACACAGTTCGATCGAGACACTAGACAGTAAGCGTCATATTTATCTGCATCAATAACTTTCCTATCTCAAAACTATTTCAATTTCCACGAGAGATAATAGAATTTGATCAATAAACGCTTTATAAAAATATATTTATGACAAATCTTTAACTAATTTCTATTCAAAAGAGTCCAATTCTGATTACACACGGCTGTATGACCGAAATGTGGTTAATCCCGTCCCACACTTGAGTCTTATAATCTGTGTAATATCATCTGAGTGACATATCGTGGAGATAATGCGCGCTAAAGTGACTTCGTGCCGTATCCAAGATCTCACAGAGTCGCTTATTCGAGAAATCCCGAGTCTTGGCAAAGAAAGGCGGGTGTTCAGTATTCAATGCACAAATTGGGATAGAAGACTTGTTGAAATAATATTGTAGGTACTTGTAAAAGTGTCACTTGGACGTATTCTGTATGTTCCGGATGTGTGGCCACATTTTATTGTTTACCTCTCCGTAACAAATTCATATTGTTATTGGCACCACCGCGACTAATTCCACTCGAGTCTCATTTAAATAAATGTGTGAAACACGAACTATTAATGTCTGTTTTTTGTGCGAAACTTATCTTGCGAACTTGTTTTCATACTAACTTAGGAGAAATATGGAGTCAATATCTACATTCAGCCATTTTCCAAAAGATTATACACCAAACCGTCTATGTGGTCCTGGCTACCATCAACACATGCCCCTCATTCATAAGGCCACACAGGACCCACTCATTAATAAAGAGACTTTATTAAAGTTACTATACAACGAGAAGTAACTACAAAATACCATCACCATACATCATACATCTTCCGTCACTATCACTGGTAACCTATTAGCGGAGAATGTTTCTTTTAAAGTTTTTGTAATAGGGGGTGAGCCTATTGCCATATACCGGGCACAATTCCAGACTCTGTGCTACTACTGAGAATTTATAAAATACACAATATTACTTTGCCCGACCCGGGAATCATTACAATACAATACAAACAAATATTACATGGGACTCATAACATAAATAGTGAAAAGTGGGTGTTGCATTGTAAAGTGGCATAATGTGCACCTCTGCCTACCCCTTCGGGGATAAAAGGTGTGATGTTATGTTATGTAAGAGTTTGTCGGTAGTCAAAACCCTAATCTAATATTTTGTTCCAGGTGAACCTGCGTTCAATCGGTCGCAAGCGTTTCGCTCATTTGTCGGAGTCTCTGGACGAGATCCACGTGGACGCCAACGTGCCGTGGGGCGAGGACACGCTGTTCACGCTGGAGTTCAGAGCCGACGAGGGCGGCAAGTACGCGCTGCACACCTGCAACAACAAGTACTTGAGTGCTGGGGGCAAGGTCAGTGACCTCATACATTCTTTTATTGATATAGTAATCATCATCAGTGAACAGTACATTGTTCAATCACTATGGATAGTTAATGAGTTATTACGACTACCTGGAGGAAACTTTGTTTTGATTTTGATAGATGAGTTTAGTTTATTAGGTACTGTACTTATGTACCGACCTGTAGTCCATGTTCCACTTATCGATGAATGATCAGAGGCAGAAAATAGACAACTAATAAATAACAAGCAATAATTTCTTTACCACACGTTCTAATACTAATAATAAATTGAATCTATGACTAATACTTGCAAGTAATGGAATTTTCTAAAAAGAAACTCAGCTCTTGCAATGGGTAGTAAACCAGCTATACTTAAAGTAAAAGCAACGATCTTGAAATATGGTATTTGAAAATCGTGTAGAAATATAAGGAACTGTGTTAGTGTTCAAAGAGATGAACCATTCAAATCGAATCATTTATTTCGGTGCGAATATGGGTTAAAAATATACAATAGATATTTATAGTAAGATTCTCTACATTTTGACATTTTGCCGTTATGTCATGCAAATAATGTACAAGTAGGTACATACAAGTATTTTCTACTCAATTTATCAACAAAATTCACTTACACAACCACCATAAAAAATACAACAATAATAAATTGAGATTTAAAATGAATGTAATTATTTAATGTCAAGAAAAGATTAATCACTACATAGTATAAAACAAAGTCGCTATCCGCCGTCTGTCTGTCCCTATGTATGCTTAGATCTTTTACATTATATTTATAATACATGCAAATTGCATTGCACCTGTGCGAAGCTGGGGCGGGTCGCTAGTTTAAAATAAGTCAGTACTTAAGTCATGATTAAGAAAGTCGTCAATATTATAGTAGGTAGCACTTGTCGAGCAAGAGTTCCTTTAGCGACTTTTTTAAATTTTAATTCAGTCATACTTTTTTTATCACCATTGGCATTGACGTTCAATTAGTAAAAAGTTGTTGACACATCACCCGCGGAACAAGACATAGGAACGTTAAACAGTACACGCATTATTTGCGGCGGCAAATTGCGTACGCGCATTGCATATAGGGTTGACACAAGTGGTATAATACGGAATTAATAAAACAAGATTTCGAAATTTACGTTTGTAAGCGAATTATATAATTATTTAAAAAAATAGTCGCACCATAGTGATGTTGATAGAATTTAGACATGGACGTGAATAATAGGGATGATGACAGGGTATGAAAATTAAAAATATAAGTAAGTTAGGTAATGAAAAAATATTAGACACGTATTTTTTATTTTGTCGTACAGGTAATAAAACATTTGATAAAACGAATCAAAGTTTAGGAGTGGGGGCTCAAACGTAATTTCTACGTACAAAATGTATTTGACATTTCAAATCAATATATCGTCGATAGGAAAATAAAAAATACGTGTCTAATGATTTAAAATAATCTACCAGACGGACATTGAAATAAAAATTAGGCATCTACCCTAATGCTGAAGGACTTGCTGTTTCATGTCTTATCATTTGTTGTAGTTTTATCTGGAGATGAGGGTTTCTCCGTGCCAACTTATTAGCTGGCTACTTATTACGTGTTTTTTCACTGATTTGCTATCCAAACAAGTCTTAATAAATGTTCATTAAGTAATCTTGTCTGCTTAAGATTATTACACAGTTAGCATCCCTGTTAAGGTCCCAGTTGGGTGATTTAGCAAACAATGGCTGTGTGTCAGTGTTTCCCATGGCATCGCACGTGGGAACCCGTCGATACTGGAGTTACGAGCCACAGCGTGAGACTCGCATCATTCTATACTGAGCCTCTATGGACAATAGCTGAGGAAACTAAACGCCTCCACAACTACTGCCGAATCAAGTTAATGACTTAATGACTCAAATGCTTACGATACCAAAACAGTCCATTAGAGGCCATAACCGATGTAATATAGTACTATCCAAGTGTCCATGTTTACTCAACTTGGAAGAAAGGAGAATATTAAACTAACGTAATCGCAATGACTCTGTGCCGGTAAACTTATGTAACTGTTACTATACATACGTACATTTAGCGTATCTATGTTTACAGACTGCTTAGAGCACGTTTTTCTTTCATTAACAGCTGTGTTGAACTAGACATTACCTCACATGTTTCTATAAACATGACACAATGTGAATTCCTTTAAATGCATCAATCAATAGGTATATTACCTATCTAACCTTTATATTCTTCCCACAGCTGCAAGAGCAATGTACGTCGACGTGCCTGTTCAGCGCGGAGTACCACGCAGGAGCCCTAGCGCTCCGCGACGGCTCGGGCGCCTACCTCGCGCCCATCGGCTCCAAGGCGGTACTGAAGACACGCTCCACCGCCGTCACCAGGGACGAACTGTTCTCGCTGGAGGACAGTCTGCCGCAGGCCGCCTTCGTAGCCGCTCTCAATGAAAAATACGTGTCCGTCAAACAAGGTACGTCATTATAATTTAACTAAAGTAATGTAGAAACCGAGGGAAGTGGAAACTATAGTGCTTTCTTCTTCTCCTCTTATATTATCTTCTGATTCACTTCGTTGCGGGAACCAAGACAGTTACTCATGTCCCTGAGACGCGCCGGACTTCAGTGTTCCAGTGTTTTCATGGTTGTATCTACTGTAGATCCTGGCTTACAGGAGTTGCAGCGGTTTTGGGGGGTTGTGGCGGGCTTGTACCTTTAAAAAAAAAAGTAATGTAATCAACATTTCAAAACGTAAAGGACGTTACAAATAACTGTTAAATTATGAACCATAGAAATAAAACTACACTCGATAGCAAGTTAGCTTCACAAAGCAATAAGTTCCGCAAGCAAAGCACGTATTAAAATCTGAATCTCTTCTGGATCAAATGCGGAGTGAATGAAAGGCTCGTAACTACATAATGGACACTTCCTTTGTGAGGGGTATCGCTTCCTACGGCAGTCGGCAGACGTCACTGATACTGTGAAAGTTAATGGCAGCAGGCTGTTATTACTTGAGCTTCCTACCGACACACTGCGGGTGCAATCTATATGACGACCATCTTTAATTGATGTACACATTCATGCTTCTATAAACGTAATTTCATGTTATTTTAGTCTGTCAAAGTTTGGAAATAGGCGAGACTATATTCTAATAAGATTTCTTCCTATCTTATTCTACATATTTAAGGCTGTTATTGGGTCTCATATTGTTTAAGTAAAATATAACAACAGTATTATTTGAATAGGTACTTAAACGTTATTGAAATCCAATTCAAAACCTGTGGGTTTCAAATTTTCAATTCAAAACCTACTTACTATACAAAAGATCAAAGAACTTTGGAAGTAAATCATGTCACACACACACACAAACAAACACACACACACACACACACAACTCAGTCATTCAGTTAATAATGTCTTACGCTCTCCCTTGCCATCTCAGCAACGATGACGTGTGCAGATTGCCAGTGTTCTTGGAAGTCATCAGTTGTGAGGAGAGGCTGTACCTTCGACAATGGCGACCTGTATTGTTTAGTAGTTGCTGACTTTGCCTTCTCAGTGTGAGAAGAGGCTTTGCTCAGCAGTGGGCATTTATAGGCTGTTGATGATGATGATGATGATGACTTTGCCTATTTACTCACAAGTCATCGTGGCAAATAATATTTATATGCTGAGGTTTTCAAGTCTCGAAACTCCACTGTTTTTGACTTATTAGCATTTCTGAATCTTCTTTGTGATGTGGGTCTCCCACACGTCATTCCAAGACCCGGGACAAATTTTTGGATCGCACAAACTGGATAAAATTGAACTTTAAGATATTCGTTATCTTATACGTAGGTCGCCCAGCACTCTATACAACTTTGAAGTCTTTTATCAAATGTAGAAATATCTTTATAAACGTTATAAAATTAAATGCCGGTCTATGAGGAAACTGCAGTGGACGCGTGAGTACCAGGCGGGCAGGACAGTACAGAAGCTAACGGTGTCTCGACCCCTCACCTCCCGTACATATAGCGCGCAATAACACGATTACCCTTGCAGAATTACTACTATACTTGTTAGGTTAGGTTAAGGAGGTTTCAAGTTAGCTAACTTCTATTATAGAAAAATATAATCTAATTTAAAAGCAACCAAAATACAAAAGATAATTAATTCTGATTAATACGATTTTTTGTCAAATATCCTACAACTTATCTTACAACAGCACAAACTGAATGAAGTTTGACATACACTCCTTAAAACACACCACATACCTTAGGTATTATGGGTAAAGTTTGATATAGGACGGCGCGCTATGCAGAGTCACGCTAACTGTGAACCACAGTGTACGGGGGAGGCATGGATGTATGTAGTGATGTATAGAGGTTGATAGTTAAGAGCTTTGCCATATGCATAGTCACGGGGAAAGAACTGACAGGTCCACTCGCGAGGAGCTTTCGAAAATAAAATTTAAACTTTATATTTAGAGCTAGTTTTTCTAGTGTTTGGGTGTGCCAAGAGTGCTTTTAGTCTGGTCGTAAATTTTGCTGAGCACGTGGTTTTCTCTCTAATCTCTAGAGATTAAACGACATTAGCTAGGGTAATGCCTTCTAGACTTTAGCTCTAATATAACAGACTCTATAAATTAAGGACTGCCTCGTGGGCCGAGTGGTCTCAAGTGTGACTGCCGGGCAAGGGGTCTCGGGTTCGATTCTCGGCTCGGGCAAAGTATTACTGGGTTTTTAAAAAATTCTCAGTAGTAGCACGGAGTCTGAAATTGTGCCTGGTATATGGCAAAAGGCTCACCCCCTATTACATGGGACTCATAACTTAAATAGTGAAAAAAGGGTGTTACATTGTACAGTGGCATAATGTGCACCTCTGCCTACCCCTTCGAGGATAAAAGGCGTGATGTTATATAAATTATGATTTTTGATATCAAAATTCACATATAAAACTGTAAACTGTACTACTTCTTTTGCAAAAGCTAGCCTCGAATGTCATCTACGTGCTAACTGTTCGCTAGAAACGATCACAAAACAAATTGAAGAAAATCACGATTCCTATAAACACAATTTTCAATATCACGTTTCTATTTAACATCTATTTTTACTAAAGCAAACTTAAATACTAATCGTGAACAGATTCCTCCGTTAGTGGGACATTTTCTTGTGACGGCCGGATTCACGTCGCTCACTATATTTGATGTGAAATGAGACGAACTAATTGAAATGTTTTCTAACAAAAACTACAAGTCATCACATGGCGTGTACAGATACAGACTACAGCACATTAAGCTATGTTTATTAAATATCTCTACTTAATTGATTATAAACTTTATTTCAAAACTATAAAGTTTAAAATGGCTAAAAGTAATATTATACTTTGAGTCTATTCTACAGTTATCGATGATCTAGCGCTCTCCTGTCAATAATGATTTAGTTTTTGTGCGTATGTATCTGGTCACTGGTCGTACCTCGGTTTAGTGGTTAGTCAATAAACCATGACACTGTCAGTTCTTACACCGGCTGATGTTATTAAAACGGTACTAGTATTCTGTGCCTTTGTTAATCTGCGGCGGCGTGAGCGTTTACTTGGTACAGGTATATTCTGTAGGATAATCAGATCTGTACATGATTTATATATACCCCGAATAGGCAAAAAGATGAAGCTAAAGTTCAAATTATACATTATCATAGTCATACCATGCCGTGCCACATTGAGCTCTCCCATCCTCCGGTTTGAGTTTGTATTAAGTTGTGACTGGTTAAAAACACGTGAATACCGGATTATGGTACTTGTTTAGTGAAAATAATATTTATGTAAATAAAAAGCACATCTTGAGATCTAGATGGGTTCCAAGTAACGGCATCAGAAAGTGACAGATGGTGTGTGAGCCAGCCTGCGTTACTAATTGCGCATCCAGTGTAATTTACATTGGAAGCAGCACATCCCAGGCGCACAGACCGCGTAATGCGTTGTTTAGATGCTGAATTATAATAATTTGCTCGTTACCTCCGCCTCGCGCCTGCTATATTGGCCGTGGCAGCCGTGGCAGGCCACCATCTGCTCTATTGTCAAAATTACTATTATACATGCTACTGAGCACGCATGCTGGATACATAAATCTGCATATATATGATAAGTTTTCGATGTTACCAAAAATTTCTACATTTCCGTTACCGCTAATCCGCTTTATTATTTTTTAAAATCTAATTTATAGGATCTCAACCGTATAACAGAGTACAGAGCGTGGCGGCAGGTGGCATTGTAAGTGATCCCGGGCCGGCCTCGGCTGTCTACTTAACCGTCCGTACCGAGATCTATTACACAAAGAAAAACGCACGGAGATGTATATAATCGGAGATGCATGCATGGTGACTTGCATTCAAAAGTAAGCCAATTAAGAGGTATTCAGCAACGTCAAATTGTCAACGGAATTGGCTGATAGTGCGGCGCGCGCGCAACTATTCCGCGCAAAAAATGTGCGCTATGCTTTCTAACGTTTCTACTGCACGGATGCCTGCACAGTGTCGTGTGATCTCGCAACATCACTAAACTTTATAGTTTTAATTAAATTTATGGTCGAGGAGCTCGCCGCGCCGGGTTCCGATGATATATTCTTGATTTTGTTATTCTTTCATATTTAATTTAAATGTAATTGCCCGCTGCTCGAGTACTCCGTTCTATTTGGTGGTTACTTAGTTATGCATGTGCCGGTTGCTTGGTAAAAGTTCGTACATAATTTGACTATAAAAACCCAGATGCTTACCAGTCTTGAAAGTTAATATTAAAATTAATTTAGCTGTTGAAATAAAATTAATGAAACAAGTGACTGAATAAATGTTTTAAACCGAATTAGTAATGTCAATGCTCTCTGGTGTAACGTGATGTTTAATTTAATAAAATGCATCTCAAGTCTCACTATTACGTCGTTCAATCAAAGCAGTTACAAACCTGGATTACACAATGACAGCCCCTGGCTTTGAAACTCTAGGTACCAGTCGTAAAGATGGATACAACTTATATGAGTCTGGACAGTCTTGACATCAAGATACCTACCAGAAGGCTTCCTCATTATAGTATAGTGCGTCTTGTACAGCTCTCTGCCGCATAACTCTCACCCCGCCACAAGAAACACAATAAATAGCACTACATCAGCTATAAATAAAAGCAGAAACTAATTGTTTCATTTTAAGTAAGCCGTACGAGAGAGATTATCTGCCGAGGAAAGTTTATACACCAGTATAGATCAGTAGATAGTTCATCATAGCTCCTGAGTATAATTACCTAGAATTAAACTGTATAACCGTATTAATTTATTGTCTCCTGTTTTCCTCCATGCAAGACTAAGATATTCTCCTGTATCAATCATCACCAATGTGAAATGTTACGCAGCAGCAGATGATCAGTGACTATCTTATGACTTAAGGCTCAAGATTGTCTTTGTAAAGCATTTCCTAGAATCAAAATATGGTGTCGTGGTGGCCCGCAGGTTAAAGACGTCTGCTTATCATGCACGAGGGTGCAGGTTCGAAACCTACCAACGGGAAAGTACCCATGTGACTTTTCCGAATTATATGTACTTTCTAAGATTATTTAGATACCACTGACCTACGGTAAAGGAAAACATCGTGAGGAAACCTGGCTTATAATTTCCAATTATAAGTTTGAAATCGCCAACCCGCACTGAGCAAACGATATTGCTGCTCAATGCGGGTTGCCTTAATGTTAAACCTAATCTAACAAGCGTAACCTTCTCCGTGTGAGAAGAGGCTTTACTCAGCAGTGGGCATTTATAAGCTGTTGATGATGATGAAAATATGGGGTATTCAATTTTTAACATCTACCGTGATACACGCTACGTTACCACGCACACCTGCTATTCGGCACAAATATTAGCCCTCATTGTCGTCAACTTTTATTGAGTCTTAATCTTTTCCTTGACATATCGGTGTACTTATTGGACCATGTTCGAGTGTTATTGTCATCTGTCATCATGCCCATCAGTGTGCAGTCAGGCAGTGTCGATAAAATCTGTAATTACGGTGATATGCAGTCGTGGGGCAGCGGGCGGACTACGTTACACGCTCCGCCACCTCGTCTGTCAGTATCTTTGATGGAGACTAGGCATTACCTGCTTTAATACTGGTCAATAGATCGATACTTCCTTATGGGATTCTATAAGCTCAAATCTTTCCCATTTCATTTTATGTATGAATAGACATTTCACATAAAGCTCCCAGGTAATAGCATTCGCAGTCACTATGAATTCATAATCCGTGTTGTGTTGGTCCTCAACTCCTTATGCTGATAACATGGAATTCAGATTTATGAGTAGATAGGTATGATGTTTCTGTCTGACTGTCATGCGAAACATTTCATTAGCCTTGACATCAGCTCATTCCGTACCATAAAGTTAACACCTTTCATGCAAGTCATGCACCAGCATAAACAGATATGTATTGTGGTGTTGTAAAATGACTTCTCGTATATTGCTAGACTGCTACACTATATCCGCTCGCAATAATATATCTCTAGCAAAAGATTTATCGGAGTGAGTAAAATATTGGCTGCGCGTGTCCGTTACAAACAAATAATGGCAGGCAATGCATCTGTGCTGAGAGCGCTAGCGGTACCGTGCGCGTGCGCCGGCCGGAGCACGGTGATAGCGCACGACGTGCACAGGGTTGCACGATCCAATAAATACATCGAAGATTTCTTTGCAATATCGGTTAAATCATTATTGGCATAGCAATTTTCATTTCTATAAATAACCATCAAAAATTTTGCGAAATGCATCGCATTCCGAAAAGATTTGCATACGAAATGCTGTAAATACAACATTAAAACGATAACTTTCAAAAATAACAGTAATGTCGTGTTCCAATCAATCGCATTGTTGTTAAAGTAACGGGTTTAGAAAGCAGCCAGTGTCGCCGCGGTTCACTGGTTCGCTTGCACTGCAGGTGCACAACTACATAATGTTTACATCCTATTGTTATCTATTGACAACTCAATCTATTCCTACTCCCTTGGAAATGAGCATTTAATTAACATACTACTTGATACTACTCTGTATATACGTGAGACATCTGGTTCTTGATGATGATATTAAAGTTCTGATTTACACAAGTTTCATTTTCATCATCAGCCGAAAGATGTATCATCTGATTCGTAGCTTTTGAAATGACAATGTACAAAGAAATATTATGTGCGTACCTTTATTACCTCCTGTTTTAGGAAAATACTGGCCAGATAATACGAGTAGTGGCCAGTTGCCACCCCTGGTCGTGCAGTCGTTGCGCACGATCGCCTGTCAGCCGCGCGGCAAATCTTTAACTCGCACCAGACTGACGCGCTAGCTTCCTGCTCGCGGCCAGCTCAGCCTCGCTTTAAACTTTAATGTTCACAACACTTCCGCGTCTACCAACATTCTAGAAATAGTTCTGTTTTTACTGAGAGTTCTAACTTAAACTAATGTATCTAAATGTCTTCAATGTTCCTCTGCGCTTCTACCAATGCGATTACTGAAGAATGCAGTATTTTCAGAATCGACTATGATTTTGGTAAGCAGTAAACTGGTGCTTAATCTTTAGGAAAATCAAAACAACCTTTAATGTTAACTACCCGTATATCGAGCCACTTCATTACTATGCACCGTTCAATTACAATCTCTAGTCAACCCCCGCGGGGCCACGCGTCATTCCACGACTCCATAGTCCGTACACGAGGGACTCAAGTCAAACGATATTAGTTTCGTTATAGCATTCCCGAGGCGAGCGGTGAAACAAATCATATTCATGCGTTGAAATGTTCAATATTTATGAATCAAATGAATAATTTATGTATAAAAACAACAGTACCCCTATCTATAGCATTTTAGACGGCTGAAGCGCTAAAACGATAGCTATAAACATCTACGTTTGATAAAAAAACTTATTCTAGAGGTATGTGATTGTTTAACAAAATTAATTTAAAAGTAATGAAAGAGACAAACAACAATCTCCATGTTAGAGCCTCTGAGAGCTCATGGTGGTTTCCTTCCCCACTTGAGATCTTTGGTCGGTGTGTTTGTTCATTTGCTGATGTTTGCACTCAGTGTACGTCTCGAGTGCTCGGACAACAGGCTCCGACGGTCAGCTGTGTGTGCTCTCGAGAAGAGGGCACTTACTCTAAGGGTAGAGTGGTCCCATGTCCGGGCAAGGTCATTCGAGTGGGGTTTTGATTAGATAGGCAAATAATCGTACTTATCTAGAGTCATAGTCCTATTAAAGTAATACACAGAGATTAGAGAAATTATACCAACATATTTAATGATTTCAGCGGCTTTCTGAAGTAATAAAAATACCAAAGATTAAACAACTACATATGAATCATGTATCATTACTTCCAGGAGTGGACGTGACAGCCAACCAGGATGAGATCTCGTCGCACGAGACGTTCCAGCTGGAGTTCGACTGGGCCACGCGCCGCTGGTACATCCGCACCATGCAGGACCGGTACTGGACCCTCGAGACTGGAGGCGGCATCCAAGCTTCTGGAGATAATAAGTAAGTACACTAACATAAACTGGTGATGCTGTTAGAAAATTTAAACTTCATTTTATTGCAAAACAGTAGTTGATGCAACTCATTAAATGTGAAAATCACAAGCTAAGTTAATTAGCGTTCATATTCTTCTAATTGGGATTATAGTGAGGTCCAGCAGTGAGTCTCAATTAATGTCAATCTGTTGTTCACTAGATAGTCACACATCAAGTTCATAACTAAATCATTTCTTATCAATCAAGTTTGGCTTTTTTGTAAGTAGACTACCATTACAATTGGAAACTTATGTGCAGGTCTTCAAACGCCCTGTTCGAGTTGGAGTGGCAGGGAGACGGCGCCGTGGCGTTCCGCGCCAACAACGGCAAGTACCTCATGACCAAGCGCTCCGGACACCTGTACGCCAACGCGGACTCCATCGACGATAACTGCAAATACTACTTCTATCTCATCAACAGGTCCGTACCGTACTACAGTAACCATTTCACTTATGAAATAAACTAAATAAGTTTTATTACCCACTACCCAGTTAAATCAAGGAAGGTATATATTCAGCACAAACAATAAGTGCTTGCTAAGTAGTGTGGCATTATTTTTGATAGTAACTATTATACCTATCCAATTATATTAAAACAAGGAAACATCATTGAAATCTACTTTATATGTACACAGTATTTTTGTTTTAAGCTTTACATACCACTTTGATAATACCTAAACCAGTAAACTAAATAACGGTAATAAATGTAGGTCCTGTGTATTTCAGTCCAGTTAATCACTGAAGTGTATTCACAGGCCTATCCTTGTGCTGAAGTGCGAGCAAGGCTTCGTAGGCCCCAAGGGCGTGAGGCTGGAGTGCAACAAGGCCAACTACGAGACCATACAGGTCATCCGCGGACCTAAGGGCGCTGTCTACTTCAAAGGTAAGCTTATTAACTATCTAGCTAACAGTTACTTGTAGTAGCATAAAAAGGAAGCCTCGTTCAATGCAATGCTGAGCAAAGGGTTTTGTGTTGTTGGCTCGGGCAAAATATTGAGAATTTCGGGGTTCTTTCTAAATAATAGCACAGAGTTGGATTCATACTAGAAGTATGGTAATAGGCTCCCCTTCTATGACGGATAAAATATGCTACAATACAGGCATTGTTTTACATAGTCATATTATTGACCTCTATAAATATTTCCGCGTTCCAGGACAAAACGGCAAGTACTGGCACGCAGACAGCGAGTCGGTGACATGTGACGCGGACTCCCCGCAAGGGTTCCACCTCGAGCTGCGCGAGCCCACGCGCCTCGCCATCCGCGCCGCGCAGGGCGGGGACTACCTCGCCGCCGCCAAGAACGGGAACTTCCGCCTCGCCGGCCCCGACCTCAGCACCGCCACGCACTGGGAGTACTAAGCTCGCACACCCAGGAATCCTTTTGATCGCATCATCACTGCTGCCCGACCGGTCCTTCTGAAACTATACAGGCCTAAGTTGACTTAACACAGGCCTTTGACTGGGCAGTCATCATCAGTTCATCAGTCATCCAAATCATGTTCAAAAGGATCTCCACCGCCTCCTATTCGCAATACTCTTCCATTGCCGCACCGCACTGTGTTGTACACGGCCGGTGCGGGACTTGTATCTTCATATCGAGAATGTCATCACGGAGGGCGCGCGCTTACTGCCGTTATCTTCATTCCTTTAGCCGCCATCTTGTTAGTTGTGGCGGCGACGAACGACCCAATCAGCCAATTCTGAGACAGAATCCGCTGCCTGAATGGTTTAATTAAATAATAAAATGGGAATGTTAGTCAATGCCCCTGCATTGACGATACACATTTCGTGCTAAAAAAAAACAATGTCTGGAACATAGCGTGGAGTGAGGCGCCGCCCTGTTTTGCATTTAGTACGAGTAAGATGATAGTATCGCGCGGCATGGCGCGCATGTGATCATTATGAAAATATCGCTTCATCTTATTGTAATCATAGATTATTTTTCTTATAACTGGTAGATCTGCCGTCACGTTGCTTATGTCGAATTATTTTTATATTTTATATTTTGTGACCGTCACTCGTATCGCTTGAATTATTTATTCTAGATTGTATGGTATATTATTAGTACGGAAGACATTATTCTGAAATTTTTCGAAAAATATTTATTGGATATTGTAGTGTCTAGTCGATGGTTTTTATACAATTTTTATCAGCTCCCAGTACTTGACTACCGTCGTGTCATGTAGGTTAGTGAAATGTTAACATCGTGAGACTGATGCCTACAAACAGCACATAACTGCAGTAACACTGTACCGTAATTAATTTAAGTTAAACAGGGATTGACGCAATACCAGACGAGTGCTCGCCACTATGTACCCCGCATTGCTCAACTCGGTCTGGCTATATTAACTCTGCATAACGTCACACCATTAACTCGCACCACTACACACTGCAGTCAGTTGAACACGTGGACAGTAACCAGTTGTGCATAGTTAATGTGACAGGCTCAAGTACTGGACACCCGGGCGAGTGCCGCGTGTACGAGGGCACCGAGTCTGGCTTCTAATTAATGAACATGTAAGGTAGGTAAGTTATTGTAAGTTATCACGTTAGGGTAAGCTTGAGCCGCTCCCAACTATATAATCGTCCATTCCATGCTTTTACAATTACGACATGGGATTAAAACCATTTTTTACTAATTATTTTTTAAATAAAAACTGAGATTTGTATCTGGTGCATAGTCTTGTATATAAACGATTTCCATTTGCGTAATAAGTCTGTACTTACGATAACGTTTGGGAAGCGTTGACTCTTTTTTTATAATGAACAAAACGAGAAATATGTTTTTTTACTGAGGGTATTTTGTATGCAATGCTGATTCTGAAATATTTGTACGATAACGTCTTTGTAAACTATTAATGAATAAATTATAATCATATTGTACATTTGTGTTTTATTTGTATTCTAGTCCGTAACTTCCATCTTGAATCCTTTACTTCCATCAGGCTAATCATGATCAGTGGGAAGGTATATATGCAAGGTGGACTGCCTGCAAGGAAGTGACTGCTTTTCTTTAAATATAAAGTCAAACTCAATTCATGTGATATAAACTTGAAACTAACAAAGTGTGCTATAGAAGTCTGCAGGACACAAGAAGAGATTTTTCTTGATTTGCCAAAAAAGTACGAAACTGAAACCTCTAAACCTAACCTAAAACTGAACCTGAAAAATACTTCATATTTATTTCAAAGTCCTAGGACTTTACAACGTAATAAGATTAAGAGGTGTACTAAAAGACGCTAGACTATATTCTTATGCTAACTAAGGAGGAGGCGGGACGCGTGAGGCAGCGAAGCGCTGCCTCCTCGCAACCCAGCCCTCGCGAAGGACACACCGGGCGTCGGGGATCGCGGGACGATCTCCGGCCACCGTGAGCGCGGGCCTGCGGACGGCGAGCATGGGTGGCTCCCCGTCCGACCAGAAACAGACCCGAGCGTACGGCGCGTTGCGTTCCGCGCGCACCTCACAGAGCCATCAGACTACCACAGATGGGGCCCAATAGGGCCGATTCCGATTCGGAGTCGCGGAGAACCTAACGGGTAACCGGGGCTCCGGCTCGACGTGTAGGAGAAGGAACGGGGTTGTTTTTAGTCAGTAAGAGTCTGACACTCCCTCCCGCCTCACCCAGGCGGGAGCAGTCATAAAAAGAAGACTATATTCTTGAATTAGGGCCTCGCCCATGGCGACTTTTCGTAGCGATGTTTTGGCGATGCTGCCGCGCGTCTGCATCCGATACAGTCGCGAAGTGCATACAAAAGTAATACGCGTTAGTAGCTATGCTGTTGCGCTTTTAGTGAACGCCCGACAACATCGTTACAAAAAGTCGCCGTGGGCGATGCATGATAAATTAAATGACATTTTTAACTGACTTAAAAAAAAGGAGGTTCCCAGTTTGACCTGTATGTATGTTTGTTTGTGTGTGATCTAGCCATAGTCTGAACCGATTTAGATGCCGTTTTCAGAAATGTTTATTGCACTTAGAAGGTAATATATTATAAACCGACCTCATAAAAGAGGGGGTTGAAGATAGTTTTTTAAACGTACTTCGTAAAAGAATTATTAATATACTATCTACGCTTACTCTTTTTTACTCTTGTTGCTTTATGCTACCCTGTAGGGGGTCCTTCCTTGTCATTTTAGAATATGTCCTATACACTTTTTAATACATTTCTTACTATGTTATGAAGTCTTGCACTTCGAAACACCAAGTGTCGATAATTCGTGACGTTACCACACATGAACTGTGTCCACTACTTCGGCGCAGATCGAAACATATATTGCGTGTATGTTGTAGCGGGTGTAGTTAGGATAGAATAGGGTTCGAATTAGTTCTACTAAAGGAGATCATACGATGTTTAGTATACTGCGAGTACTAAATGAGACACATAGATGTATTGAAAAACTTATATATTTTAATTAAATAGTTACATTAATCTTTACAGTTTCTCCCTAGCTAGTGACACGTTGAATTAGCATCGATGCATTTAATGGTCAAGAAATAATATTAAAAATAAAAATTATAATTCATCTAAACAACGGATAAACAATAACCATATCAACCTGCTAGTTAATAAGCGAAACAAACAACCGTACACTGTGTTACCGGCACGAGCAGCTATACAAACTGTACTCAACTATTTATCAACAAATGAATATAAAGTAAAATTATATAAATGCGATTTCTTATCTGGCAAGGAGGTGATTTTGTTTCGCGCGTGGCAACACAGCGAGCGTGTAATCTAAACGTAAATAATTTATCTAATACGTCGAATATTACAATAATGAGGAAATAAATATATACCATACATATACGCTATAAACGCATTCCTGTGGAGTGGGCGCGGCTCGGTCACTTGTTACTACAAGCCGATAACACAGGAATTTGTCAAACAATATCCAAGTGAGAATAAACTTCTAACCAAATGACATAAAAATTGTTTACAAAATGTTTCTTCGTGTATTTCAAAGTATAATGAACTTTATAAATGTTTACGTAAAAATGCGAAAATAGTGAACAATTTGTAGGACAAATAACTTTTCTCTTGAAACCGTATATTCAAGATTGCTCCTCTGTAGAGGTCAGCAGCCCTCGAGAAGTAGCTCTCCAAGAGATTTGTGACTTCAGAGTAATGTAATTATAATTGTGCACAGATCATGGACATAAGTCGGAATTAACTTAACAACCAAGACTCAGGAATTGTAACAATTAGCAATACAAACGTAAGTTACATTCACCCCAGTCTTGTGTTTTACTGAGTACGTCAAGAGTACGCAGCCCATTACCTCCATGATCTTGACACAGGTTTGAGAGGGGGGAGAAGAGAAGTGGAGGGCGACGTACAATACAATTACTGTAATACAAAACTTTACTAAGGCACGAATAACAACTTGTCACCTTAGTCGTCGCGACAACCACTTGGTGAGTTTCACCGAGTCCCACTATCGTGGGATATATACACAGACGTGGGATATATCGGTCACTCGGTGAACCCCACCAAGCGCCTTACCAAACCCTAACCACCCGAGTGGGGCCCGAGCAGTGACGATGCACCCAGCCTCTATGTGAAAGCACGACCCAGCCACACAGCTCGTTATACTCAGCCAAGTGTTTGGTGTCTTTAACATATTATTATCAGGCACAAGTGTGCAACTATTACACATTTACTATTGCTTATGATTTAGCCGCGGACATCGCCACAGATGACGTCAGATTTAGATTCTCAAGTATTCGAGAACATTGTACAAGTATCGCGAATGTGTAGCGGTCGACGTCGGCCCCAAACGTTAACACTATTGCCGCTACTTCACTATATATGCTAGTTCACTATGTACTGTCTGTCTGTGCGCGCGCAGCATATTACAGTCTAGCCTTCGCGAGCCTGATTTAATCAGACTCGTTTAATATTACATACAAATAGATTATTACAATTATGTAGATTTATTGCCTTATTTACTTTTAAATGTAAAACTTTATTACATTTACTTTGAAGATATAAGCACATGACACGACCACTTTACAACTATATACTTTATTCAATCGGAAACTGTACAATCTCAATTAGTTACTCAGATGTTTGTACAATATAAAATTACGAATAATTTCCTAGCGTAACCTATGTGCGCCGGCGACGCACAGACAGACAGGCTCGGCTACATATATTACACGACAGCTCACAGCATTATCCAGTCTATTAATAAAAGACATTTCATTTTACATTATGTATACTGCGACTACAGTCAGTGGGTGTCGAGTTGTCGACGCATCCACACTAACGGAACATACATTTGCTGAGAACTCGACAATACTCAACACGTCTCCTTTTATAATAAAATCTTATTCATTATATTATATTTTTTAAATAGCATCCGTCGTACACAAAGCACCGCTAATTAGTTAGCGGCGCTACACATCGACACAACTATCATTTACACAATATACATGTGTGGGTAATTTCATATCAATAGATATGTATAGAAACATTCGTCTATCACACACATCTTGGTATTTAAAAATCATTTTTGTGTCGGTATACGCAATAATTTAGTAAATAAGTTTAAATAAAAACGAGGGTAAAGATAAAATTACTCATAACAAACTTTGAATAAATCGAAATCAAAAATAATGAACGATCGAGCTATACAATACCCATATAAATATAGTGCTTTCTCATTGTAATTTTATGTTACTGAATGATATAAAATATTTCGATGATCTCATCTACAGCGCGCTTGGCGCAATGGTTATCGCCTCCAATTGTCATGTAAAGTGCCGCCGGATCGATTCCAACATTCACATGTTGTTTTAGAATTAATTTATCAAATATTTGAAATTTGAAATTTGAAATTAAATCAATTTTCTTTTTTTTTCCTTTCCTATTGTTCTAAATCTTATGTTAATTTTAATAGTAAATACTTTAGATTTATTTATACCTATAATATCTTTTATTTATATTTTAGTTCTAGTTATTTATTATTTAGAATAATCTCATTTGCTTCATGCATTTCAACCAACTTAAATAAGATAAAAACAGTAAAAAAGTAATTAACTGTGATTTCTTAATGGTTCGATACCTGAGTATATTTGCAATGTTTGTGGCGACCATAGAAATCTCGAGTCATTTTATTTTACACGCTTATGAAGTAACTACCGACTATTTAAAACATGTTTTTCAAATCACCCGACTTACAAAATAATTGCGTTCTTAGTTGTCAATTTATGAGGATTTCATAGTTTATTGCTACACTACTTATATTCGTGTGCAAAGTTATTTTTATTTTTACAAGATGTTCCAACACCTATCAACATTTAAAAAGGCTGAAACCATTGTTTTGCATGAGCAAAACATAACTAACAATAACTGAAATAGCAAGGCGTTTAATGATATCGGTGAGTAAATAAGATACTACGTTGATATTCTAAATAATATTTATTTCATTTTGTAACTCGACACACCTATCAATTTTTGCACTAGAATAAAATAATTATTGCAACTTATTATGAAGTTCAATATTATAAAGATATATTAATAATTTATTATTAATTGTATTGTAACTTGACTTGTTTTTGTTAGGAGTGTTTCTTTAAAACATATCTGGTTAGGGATTTTTATTCCTTACGCCACTACTTAATTATAAATTATTATTCTAACATTGTGTTTACTTATATTTATTATTATTTTTAAGTAACTTTAATTCCTGTAAAGTATTTCCTGGTATTTTAAATACTTATTTGTTTGGTATCAACAGAGGAGATCCATGCAGTTATGGGTGCACAGATATGCGGAGACCGGTGACGTTAAACATCGTCGACGTGGGCCTAAACCAAAGGCAAATTCATCGGCTCGGCACTACGACATCGTAGCCAGGCACATGGCTGATCCGTTCCTGCCAACCCGCACTACAGCGACAGCACTGAATGTTTTAATACAAACTGTACGGAGACACCTGCATTCTGGTTTAAGGTGCAGGAAGCCAGAGAAGAAAAATTGTTATCTGTGGTTCACCAGCAAAAGCGCTAAGAATTTGCTAAGGACTTTATTAATTTTGATTGGGCGAACAGTGTAATCATATTGAGCGACGAAAAGACTTTCAAGTCGGATAAGGATGGGCGTAAAATATTGTGAAGAAAAGATGGAGAAAGGTATACGAATTGCAACCTTCTGCCTTGTAGGATCAGTGATTGTATTGATTTCGGAATCAATTATTGAGCCTGTCAAACTCTGCCTTTATTAAAATTAACATAAAATAATGTTTAATTTTTTTAAGAATATTAAAATGCTGTCTAGAACATACGGTGAAGTGATGTTATTGTTTTGTGGTTAGAAATTGTCATAATTTCTTTCTATTCAACATGTTTATTCACTTCACTTTAATTTTTCATTAACAAATTTATTTAACTGCTTTCGAACTTGATTGACATATTATATTTACGCCCATCTTCAATTAATTTAAAGTTTCCCTGATTCTAAAGGTCATGAAAGTTAAAATCGTTCCATAGCATTCGTCACATTCTTTTTACTATCATACAGCCCACTGAATATTGAACCTTATAACAACCGTCGTAAAATAGATAATTAATGGAAGTTCAAACGACAAAAAGTCGCCCATTTCAAGAAATATTTGACAGTGTAATTTTTTACATGTTTTACTTGTTTATTACTGTAAAACTGTAATTTAATAATACATTATATTATTAAATTACAAAACAAGAATGTTGTATATTTGTTTATTACCTACTTAATAAAAAATGTTGCTGCCATCGTATTACCGCTGTACCGCATGATATTTCCCGATTCGACTATGAGGTTTATTGTCATATCTATTAATTATGATTTAAAGAACTTTAAACTTAACATGTGGTATATAATTAATTATTAGATATAAATATTGAATATAAAACAACATATTTGTATAATAAATAAATTAATTGTAATAAAAAATAGTATTGTTTTATTTACCAACTCATTTGCTTCTTTTATAGCCTGATATTTATATTTTATGACAAAAAACAAAAAAAAAAAAAAAAAAATAACAAGGTAAAATAAAATTAACTTTTAGCTGGAATAGAACCCACATCATTGATCCTTGAAAGACGATAAAAGCGTGCTCATTAACCAATCGACCACGAGCACTACGATAATGACAGTGAAAATGTCGGGTCATATCAATGATTGTAAATAGTTTTAACCTTACCTATGCATTAAATTATAAAAATACGTATACCGACACAAGAATGAAAATACCAATGTGAACGTGGTGGACGAATATTTTTATATACAGTTATATGAAATTACGCACACATGTACACTGTGTAAATGACAGTTGTGTCGATGTGTAGCGCTGCAACTAATTAGCGGTGCTTTGTGTACATTTTATACATTTTTTTTTATAAAATTAAATTATTTTGTATTTTTTTGTCAACAAATTTTTTAGTTGTAGATGTCGTCGACACCCGCATGTACCTACCACCATATGAGTCCACAATATATTATTAAAACATAATTTCACATGATTATACCACACACCATTGCATAATTACTTATTACAACAAATACAATTAATATACATACATTTTATTGGTAATCAAAATTGGTGATCGTTTATATAGGACGTACAAAAGAAACACAAATACTAATTCCATAAAGCGGCGACTGAGGAATAATATATTGTTCGGTACACGTTCTCGCGACAGTGGAGTACACTTTATGATTTGGTCAAGTACACGTAGTCGTGGTAGTAGAACAGTTTGTGGGCGGGCCGCCGGCACCGGCCCCGGCCCCGGCCCGGCCCGCCCGGCGCGCGCCGTACGGCCCGGCGCGGGACCGGCGCACGCGACGCGCCCCGCGTTACCTTGAACCCTGTAAAACAATACTTCAATTATTAATCATGTAAACACTTCATGTCAACTTATGAACTTAGCTGTCAACATTATGTTGTAGAATCTACAAAAATGTAAAATAGATGATAATTACCAGTGTGGGGAGCGGCTAGGAGAGGAAGGGGTTGGGTGTGTGACGTTGGTGCGGCGGGGACCACGGCGACGTGGAGCGCGGCGCCGGCACGGGCGCCCACGGGTCCGCGCTGGGCGCCACGCCCGCGGGCGCCAGGCTGGGCGCCAGCCCGGCCGTCGGCATGCCGCCCGCTATCCCACTGGGCGCCAGCGGAGCTGCCATGGTAGGCATGGGAGCTGGCGCCCCAAACGCTGGGGAAGCCGTGCCGAAGTTGAGTCCCGTGAGACCCATCTGTTGCTGTTTCAACTCGTTCATAGTTAGCCGCGCCTGAGGGATATATCAGCATTAGGATCGTGTCGTTTCGGTAACTATTTGACAGGCAGGCATAATATGGGCAAATTGAAATCTAACTACTGATTACTAACTATGACTACTTAAAGTAGTTAATAATCATGATTACAGATTACATTAAATAATCGTAAAAAGTAGTTAAAAGATTACTAATCTTTTTTTAATTGTTGCCCCACACTAGAATTTTCTCATGTGTCGTGGGAGCGTATTCAAACATACAAGTTGACATACACATGACATCCAGAACCGGAACAACAATTTGTGGATCATAAAGAGTTATTCCGTGCGGGAATCGAACTCGCGATATGTATTGTGTTTTATAAAAGAGCTGAAGCCCGTCACAGACATAGCTAAAATGTTATATTTCTACGGGTACTTTAGCCTAATTTGAATGATTAGCCCAATTGAAATATTTTTAATTTATATGATTCGCAAATTATTCAAATTGAATCGAAGTTGTGAAACTTATATACCAACACATTACAATGTTTAATTAGATTAAAAAGGCATATTAATCAGTAGTTACTCGATTCCAGTAATCAAAAATAATAACTACTATATCTAGATTACTTTAGTTAAGTTACAGACAATTACATGTAGTTAACTACTTTTAATCGTAGTTATTAATCAGATCACAAAGTAGTAGTTAACTACGGCCAAGGCTATGTGCAGGCAGGTGATGTGTGGTACACAAGGGACAAGTTGAAATGTAAGCTAGCTCAGTAAAGTAGTAGTGTGTACGTACGGGCTGTGTGTGCGTGAAGGCTGCGTGCGCGTGTCTGTGTGGGGGCGGCGCGGTGTCCGCGAAGGGGTTGTGCGCGGCGGGGGGCGCCAGCTCGGCGGCGGCCGGCTGCAGCAGGCGGTCCAGGTTCACCAGCGACGAGTTCTCGCCCAGGAACGCTGACGGAGACTTCTTCATACCCGCCGCCCCCGCCGCGCCCGCCGGGGACGACGGCTTCGGAGTTAAACTGTCACCTGCGATTCATTTATTATTTTATAACATCTCTTACTTGTTTGTCAAGTGTGACGCAGGTCGAACAAGCTATTCTTGAAATTTGCATGTTTTTGAACGCTTTCAGTAATAGCACGGAATTTGGAGTTGAGCATGAGAATAATAGGCCAAAAAGTGCTCATGGGATTATAAAATTTATACTTTAAACTGTCAAACACCAAGCAGTCACCGGTGACCGCGACCTATTGTTCTTTAACTCGTCGAGTACCGGTTTTATAGACACAATTAAAGAACAATAGGTCGCGGTCACCAGTGACCGCTTGGTGTTTGACAGTTTAATTGTGTCTATAAAACCGGTACTCGACGAGTTAATGAATATATTTACTTCTTTTCATCTACCGTTGGTTTGTTAGTAAGTACAAAGTAAGTTGTATAATACTGACTTAACGCGGTGAGGTCGAAGGGGTCGGGCTCGGTGTTGTTGTTGAGGTTGTTGCGAGGTCGCTGCGACAGTGCGTCGAACTGCTCCAGCTCTGACGATGATGGCGACGACAGGACAGATACAGGTGACTTCGCCTGCAAATATTGTAACATACACAATTAATCACAACATAGTATAAAACAAAGCCGCTATCCGCCGTCTGTATACTCAGACGAGAATTCGACATCGTTGATAAATTGATGATATTTCAGACAAGAAACAACAATTCTTTATATGAACCACTAATCGTTATTTCAAGTCTGGGAGGATGATCTAGTATGTTTAATATGTGTTTATGAAGGCACCCACAACATAGGGGGAACATACTCTATGGTTGCTTAAAAACAAAAAATGTTACTTATACATTATTTTAATATTGTTATGTACTTACATGTGCGACAGGTGCCCACGGGTCTGCCGGCGCGGCGGGTGCCCACGGGTCCTTCGCAGGGCTGCCTACTGCAGACCACGCGTCTGACGATGTCTCCTGTATAGATACAATTACATATTTAATTACAATTATCTATATAAAGGGTTAAAAATTAGCATACATAGTAATAATGCTCCTAGTTACCATTTCGAGACCATAAAACTATTTATTTTGTTACTTAATCTAGCAGTCTACACAATACGGAATAGTTTAAATATTAAGACACACTTCTAGCAAATTACTGCACACTCATAGATCTCACCATCGAGTCAGTAAATATACTGAAATCCAAATGCGACTGGTAGAATAGAAACCACAATATTATTGATTTATAGACACAACATTTGGTTGTATAAATAAAGACATAGTACCGCCAAGGTTTTGAATAAAAAATAGTTTAGACTATACATTCTTGAAATTCGATTAATACGCTTTCTCAAGCCATAATAGGCGATTTCCATATTATAACAATGACTATTGCTCCCATCGTCGTACGTCTAAATGTCGGGGCTTGCTTCTTAGCACTTTAACCTTCGTAAACTTATATTCATGTACATATGTCGGGTTAGTAAGAGAAGTGTTTGTACCGGTCTAGGTTGTTCTCCGGCCCACGGATCCACTAGTGGAGGCGGCGCGGTGGACGGCGGACTGCTGAGGTTGACGTCCAGCAGGTCCAGCAAGTGAGACTGTTGGGACGATGACTGGCCCTTCTTAGGCGGCGGCAGCCCGTCTGTGGTCCTGAGGGAGAATATACATCGTTAGCAAGTATATATAACAATATTCTACATACTAAAACACATGGTCTGTAGGTTGCAAACCAAGAACTAAGTTTAGGTAATCTAGCGTAGTTAACAGTTTTTTATTAATTCAGTTAGTTATGTGAGCTGATCAAATATGCCAAAGTTAGTTGTATGCTGAATGTAGTTGAGCTGCTGAGTATAGTCTGTGTATAGTCTGCATGTCTTCTTAAATACGTTTGTTTACTTGAACTTTGTAACTTAACTGAGCTCTCACTCCAACACGAAAAAGAAAAGAAAGAAGATAGAAAGAAATATCATTTATTTATAGCAGCCAAAAACAAGAAAATACAATAGACAAATAAATATTTAAAACAATAAATAAGTTTAGTAAATTACCTCCCGTTTTGCCCAACCAACTTAGCATTAATATAACGTTCTCGGTTTGCGACCCACATACGACTTAGTTTTGACGAAGTTCGTTCGACGAACCTCTGTAGTTTCTCTAAGGCGAGCCTAGCATTACTCTCCGGGCGCAGACTGACAAAGGATGGGTGTTCAGTAAGTGTAACACTGGTAACTAGGTAGTGACGAGTCGGCACTGACTGTATTACATTCGGTCTGAGACACTCGATGCAGTCGTACAGCCAGCTGCGCAGGGGCGCGGCCGGGGGCGCGGGGGGCGCAGGGGGCGCGCTCGGGGGCGCCGCGCCCTCCACTACCGACCACGCTGGCGCGGAGGGCGCGGGTTTGTATAACTGGAGGCGCACTGCTTCGTCGCGGATGAACGCTTCTATTCTGGAGGGGACGGGATTGGGATTAGGATGGGGATGTGGTGGTAGGGTGGTATAATTGTGATGGTGGATGGTTACAGGGTGGGGTAAGGAACAACTACAAATTTGTGGTGGGTTAGGTTATATTGCGCCCAATATTTTTAAATTGTATTTTTCTGTCCTAAATAATTCGTGATAGATGTCATCTCAGTCATTAAGATAGTCAATATAATTATACAACTGGTTTTCCATTTATGATTAAACCTTTCTAATGACCCTTATAGTAACTACCTACATCATTAAACGCGACACAATACATAGAGCAGTGTAATACTTTTTTTTTAAGGTGGGAAAATCATCGAATGACTGCTCCCGCCTGGGTGAGGCGGAAGGGAGTGTCAGACTCTTACTGACTGAAAAACCACCCCGTTCCTACTCCTGCACTTCGAGCCGGAGCCCCGGTAACCTTTTACGTTCTCTAAAAAGCAGTGTGGTACTAACTGGAAGTCCTGCTGCGACTGGCTGATGGCGAGCTGCAGGCGCACGTCGTCGGAGCGGCGGCGCCTCTCGTCCCGCTCGGCCTCCTCGCGCGACATGGCCAGCGCCAGCTGCAGCTGCAGCTCCTCCTCGCCGGCAGTGAGCGGCCGCGCCAGCTCGGCCTCGCGCCCCGACCACTCCGCGCCCTCGCCGCTCAACTGGAACACCATACACTCACTTACACCACCGTCCCTCACAACACTTGACAGTATAGTATTACTTCAAGCGTGTCAACAACAGTTTGTTATTCAGATCTGTGGTGGGCAAATTACAACCCAATAAGAATATTCAATCCTTCAACTGGAATAACAAATGCATTGCCAAAGGCATCAGCGAGGCTAACTACATAAATTCATTGTGTCATGGTTCACAAGCATTAAAACAAATTCTTTTTCACCGACATGGAGAAAATTCGCCCACCATGGACCTGAACCTTAAATAAACACTCCTTTATCAGAACGGTCAACGAAGTTAGATTTTTAAAACTACGCACCGATATTTGATGCAGTTTTTTAAAATGGATATAGTAATTCTTAAGGAAGGTTTGTATAAGGGTTAACTATACTTAATATTCCCATATAATTAAAACAAGAGTGTGTATGTGTGTTGGTTAGGTACAAAGTGCTCACCGTGGGGTATGGGCTGGAGTCCAGCCCTCCTAGCGCGCCTTCACTGCCGAACTGTAGGACATAACCGACATGTTAACAGGGAGGTTAAGCGTTAACGTGACAAGTTAGATGCGGTGACGTGTGACGACAGGTGATTATAATAATAAATAAATAAATAATGTTAGGTTATGTGCATGAACACAACGAGCGTGCTAAGTGCCAAGTATTATTTAAACACATAAATTACACGAGACGCAAAAATTTTAAGAATATTCTCTGCTGAAACTCGATGGTTGTTCTCTAAAATCCTTATCAAATAAGAATTATAATATAGTAAACCTTTTCGCATACGGAACTTGTAGTAACTGTACAGAAATGCGAAATCGGTAGAACCGCCTCTATAGTGACCATTTCTTATCTTTAGGTTAAGTTCCTGTGCAACTACAAAAACTATATGGTGTACATGAAAGATATTTTATTGTATTGTACTCACGGCTGGGTAGGAGGGGCTGCTGGGCGTGTCGAGCGCGCCGTCGCTGCCGAAGGCGCTGGCACTCTGCGCGAACCTCTGCTTCGCCTTGAGGGCGCGCGCTCGCTCGTTCTTTAATCTCTCCTCGTCTTTCAACAGGTTCACTAATGATTTCGCCTTCTCGCGAACGTTTTGACCTGGAACAAGTAATAAAGTATATGTTAGAAAAAATGAACAGGTCACGAGAGTCTGCTGCTGGAGTATAGACCTAAGAGGGATTTGTCACAATTTCCTAGTTCATAGACTGAGCTCAGTAGCTTGCTGTTGAAGAGATCTATGTTTAACAGCGTGGAACGGAACAGGCCTATGATAAAGAAGTATTATAGTAAAATTCTAGGAAATTAAAAAAAGTAGGCGTACACCATCTCCCGTGTTCTACATACTACTATATTTACATCTAAACTATATTTAACTTTAAAGTTTTACACTTACACTAAAAAATCTGTGCGATACTGCTACTGTTCCCAAGTTTAGTTATGAAATGAATTATATTCAATGTAATAAAGTAATTTTATAATAAAATGCGTACACAACGAGGGTCACTGTCAAACTGTTACCACACACAGAGCTGGATAATCCCACAGAAATATCAAATATTTCAGATGTTCTCAACATAGCGGTTTCATTTCATTTTACATAATGATATTCAAAATCAGTATTATTTGCTACGCACACCTAGATTCCCTTTTAAAACACCTAGATACCGAATTAGTTTAATTGTATTATCGAATTAATCTACACGTTAATTTGTTTAAATACACATTAATTTAAATATTTTAACAAAATCAGTGTTAAACACATTTGATTTTGACAAGTACGTCATATCGCCCCATGGAAAATAATAGCGACACCAAAATCTAAGAGGGTATAATAATGAACCATAGTTTGCAATCCCTACTCCTTATCGCAGCAATAGATAATGCAACGCCTCCGCCTCACATGGCGCTTGCGCATATCATTAACATTCGGCACATGATTACTGATTACTTAGGCATTCAGTTGCGACAGTAGGACCTTTAGTAGAAATACTAACATGGTTTAGAAGCCTGGGTTAATTACAAGGTAACTTCATTACAGTTGTGTTAAGTAATAAACATCTTCACACTAGAAATTAGAGTTCAAGGAAAGCAGTTAAAATATATAATTATTATTACTGGCTTAGTGTAGTCGTAAGTACGTTTGTTGAAATATGATGTTTAATATTACAAAAACTACGCGAAAAGATTACTAACGCGTCAGTGTTTATAAGGTACCTTTTGCCCGTAGCTTCGCTCGCGTTAAATTCGGAGTTATTATACATACAAACATTTCTCTTGAATCACTCTATCTTTGAAAAAACCCGTCAAAATCTCTTACATAATTTTAAAGATCTAATCATACAGACACACAGACGGTGTAAAACGTTCTCTTATACTATGTATTGAAACTGCTTCGTTATTTAAATGCTTGAAAACCTAACCAATGCAGTGTTGAAATAAAATTTTCATAATATTTGAGAAAAAACTGGATTGTACAGCCCGCTGTACGCTAGTTACGTCACACTAATTAGCGGCTATCAAATTCCTGATTACATCACCGCGCAATCAATGCTAGCGCAAAGACTTGTAAACAATTTTGTTTAGGAAACATTATGTATTTCACAAATAACTGTATATTTATTAAGCAAGCACTAAACACTGTCTTTGTTATGCAATGTTTTTTTATTTTTGTCTAAAGTTTATTTTATAAAAATCATGGAAGAAAACATAATTGTCATTTACGTATCTTTACGCCATTTTATAAGCCAAAGGAGATTATGGTCTGTCCTATGGAAAGCAGTTACCATTGCTTAGGAATCTTAGCGAGGTTTTACATTACTAACTCTTATTTAATACTTAATGGGTATTCGCCAGTCTGACAAGGCACTCACCCTGATCTTTCCCCTCCTCCATATACTGGAAATCCTTAAGCGTATGTATTGCGAAGATATTCTCTTTGCACTGCATCGCCACCTTCTCACTGCCGGTCCTGATGAGGTACTCCATGAGCACCAGCGCCTTGTACACGTGCCGCCAGTTCTTGCCGTGGTCGTTGAGCCTCTTCCAGATCATCTGCATGATCTCTGTGAACGCCATCACGTTGTACGTGAGGTCGGCGATCTCCGCCATCAGCGTGCTTGAAGGGCCCCATGGGTCGTTTGATGTCGCCTCGCGCACTTTTACCTGAAACATATAGCGGAATTCATGAGCAAATATTATAATGTACCTGTATTTTACTGTTCATTTTAATTTTATTTTGTAAACAACTTTGGCATTTAGTGATTCATTAAATAATTACGTATTTATTACATTCTAATAGCAATCTGTGGACTGTGTTGTGGGTTGCATTATAATCATTGTTCAAAATGTATCTTGTGTAAACTATGTATGTAGTTAGTAAGACTTTATAATGCAACCGTTTACTGTTCCTCTTAATATTAAAAAAAATGTAAATTAGAGACAGATCAGCCAAAAGTAATCCGTGGCGTACTGTTACTATAGGGAACCCTATGTGCAACAGTGAACGGATACAAGTTGATGATGATATTGATGTCTATTAAAGCCAAAGTCTACAGCCTATGGACAATTTATAGACTTTAAGACTAATGTTACCATGCAATTTTTGTAAGTTGTGCTCCTTAACTACTTAATATCAAAGCATCTATGATTGTAAATTGTAATCATCATAGTACATAATAAGTAATGTCATTTCATTTTCCAATAGCACACTTAAAGGTGTCCTTAACCAAGTTTCATACAAACACACTGACAATAGTCTCTCAACATTATTACTAATTCAACAAGTACTGTAGGTACTATGTATTTATATTGTTGTACTATACCTGGGCATCGGAATAGTTGTGCGCGAGGTTTTTAATATTTCTCCTTAGGCCCGCCACGTTTACTTGCATTTCGTCCCGGCCGCGGGGCATCTGAAATACACAATCATTTATAAATAATGCTGCATGGGTACCCAGTAACTAATGTTACTTACAGTTAAATGATAAAATAACTTTGCAAATAAAAATAATGAAATCATGATGAGTCTAATTAACATGATCACACGCACTTCTTTCATTCTTCGAACATTGTATGAAAGTTTTGCTATACATAATTATATTATTTTGCTAAATAAATCTGAGAGCTACGTAAGTGATGCATTTTTATTAAATATCAGTGTTAAGACATAATAATTTAAGTCGTATACCCTCCCATAAATGGGTTCTTACATGCTAACAGATATTAAAGACTATACAATTCATAAATTGTATATTTTTACATTTCGGACTTCATAACAAAGAGGTTGGTTATCTACTGATAAAACTGAAAGTGGTATTTATCCTGTTGAGTATTTACGATAAAGTATTTTACTTATTTAGTAAACAATACACACGGCTACAATAAACCTAAGTACTGTTATCTCGAGTAATCATCGGCGTTGTTTTTATTCAAAATATATTTTTAATGTTGTATTTATTGATGACTCACGTATTTACAGTGAAACCTGTTTATTCCCCGAGGTGTAAGTAGGGGAACTTTTAATTTAACAGATTTGTTTGATATCAGAAAACTAAACTAACTTTAATGTGTTCAATGAATTGGCGATAGGATTTAAGAGTAAGACCCGGTATACTCATAGTTATAGAGATGAGATTACGATCAAAAGACAAGATATTTCTTATTAGGAGCAAAACTAATAACACGAAATAATATATTTTACTTTATTAGAAATAAATTATAAGTACCTTCCTTTGTATAAATTATTTTATACTATTAATTATATTTAAAGATTTAATTTCATGCTAAATTGTACCTACATTCCTAAAATATTCAGTCTATTATTTTAGTTCGAAATAAATACAAAGCAGTATAAAACAGGGACACAAAACGTAATTCCTTGTAAGTCGATGATTATTTTGCACATTGTACATTCCTTCTACGTGTTTACAAGCAATCACCAGGTATACCCATATTTTTTTCTCCAACATCCTCATCATAAGCGCCGTTGTTTAAGTAAAAATTAATTGTAGAATGACATTAAAGTTTTCGGTACAGTTCCTAGATAGGAGTATGTACTATCGGTGTCCGTTTACTGTGTTAGAGGTAAGGCTAATTTGTTTAGTTCGTCTAACTATTAGTAATTTGCGGCCATTGATATTTTAAAAACAGTTATGAACTATGAGCCGCAACCGCTAAGTGAGGCAGACATTTGAGGATATTTTCTGTCCCATTTATTTATCAGTGCCTATTTCAGTAAGTGCACTAGAACTAGTACCTAACGATCCAGGTAGAGGCCACAGAGTAACATAAACACGAGTAAAATGTAACATACGGACAGGAAAACTTTACATCACTACTTTATTTCCTGGAAACCTGCTCTGTGTTATTTTGAAGCAATACTAGGAACTGTATATTTTACTTAGGCTGGGGGAACTTCTGTTAACGAAGTTCACGGACAAATCTCTATTTCGCGTCACATGTATATGTATGCTTAGCCAACCCTTGAATAAATTGTCGAGCTCATCATTGGTGTTACGAAGGCATAAACCTTTTATGACAGATGATGTTTATGCTCTCTTATGTCCTATACTTTATGGTCTATAAAATATTCTAATATTGCAAATTCTGAGATGAATTTGTTTGTTACGACACTTACGACTGGGAAAAATATTGACGGCTTTATTTGTAAAATAAAACTTGTAAGGGGAGAATGGTAAGGAGGGAATTTCTATGATTATGTTTTCGTTTGGCTGTATTGTATTTTACGGTGTCCACAAAATATTAAAGTCAATGCAACAGAAGCCACGGGCACAAAGTCACAACTTTAATAGTAATCATCCAGTTTACGTTGGACATAATTTTGAAACGGTAATTCACCTTCAATCACAGTAAAGGACGTGGCGTACACATGTAAGTATTCAGTCGGTGTGTGGTCAGTGAGCACACTGACACTCGGCCATCTCTAATTGACTTCTAACTATTTACAGTCGCGCACTAATTGGATGCCGGCCGGCACGACACTAGCCGTAGCTGTGTATGTCACATCACTACGGTAGCTAATCACACTAATGTGATGTATCACGATCGGACTGATGCTAAAATTGATAGTACTCATGATTGTGCTAATGGATATTGATATCAAACACCCATAGGTTGGATGGAATAAAGAGTTAGTGGGGGTCTTTGAACGCCCTGTGTATAGGAGTCGTTTGAATAACATCTTCATGATGGAGAAAGAAAAGTAGGTACATAATCTATGACCTTTGTGACTTGCTAATATCAAAGAAAATATAACAAATGTTTACACTCTTAGTAAGTGGTACTTGAAGCTGTTTATAGAATTTGGTCCAGAAGCCACAGAACTTGGCAGGCATTTTGGTCCTTGTTCCCGAATCCATTGTTCCAGGGTATCAAAGGACCAGGTCTTTATTTTATACAATGGTTGTTATTTCGGACGCTGAACCTGGTAAACATGTGACGCTTTGGTACATTATATTTTTATCTGCGGCGATTGACCCGACGCACAAAGACATTTTGGTTAATATTTGCTTACAAGATTTGTTTGAATTACCGATAAAGTCTTCGAGAAAGATATGACATGAAAAATTCGTAATTAATTACGTCGAGGTAAAAGCTAGAAGTCTAATGTCTACATCATACGGTCCTACACACAAATGCTCTGAAGTTTTAACTTGAATATAATGTAAATGTGTTCCGAAAAAAACCTCTACACTTCTTAGGACTGTCTAGATTATGTGTACTTGTATGTTTGCAATCCTAGCGTGGGGCAGTTTTTCAAAAGTAAAAAAGATTATGCCTATACTAAAACGTAAGGTACCTAATCTGAAGGACATTGATTGGTATTGATTGTCCATGGCAGGTTGGGCATAGACAAGATAACGTAAATTATCACCTTGTTACACGTAGCTGTTATTTTCGAGTGATTTCTCACCAATGTCAGTGATGTGACCATGTACAGTACACTACTAGCTGCGAACGATAATGAGCGTGACTAAGCGTGATAATTGATAACACGCTGATTACATTTCGTTAATTTTTCGTATTTAGATTATATTTAGTTACGAGAAATACAAATTTAGGTTTGTATCTGATCTATTTAGATTGTTTTCCTGAGTATTTCTTCACATTCGTATGAGAGACTCATTTTACCATACAGGTTAATTCATGAAAGAATAGTTTTTTCTTTTATGAAATCCCCTTGTTATGTGAGTGATTGATCAATGGTGGCTTATCTGAGGATATCAGCAGTGAGTCAACCGCATTTGTACATATTACGTTATATTAGTCATACAAGTTCTGATAACTTGGGTTTCACAGGTAGGTACATGTATTCTGTTAAAATATACAACATTTAGAGAGATGTTCTGCTTACCCAGTTACAAGTTACACAAAGGTAAAGCCTTACCAAATTCTTAATGTAAAATAGACCTTGAAATGAGCGTGAACAGCGACGTGACGTACAAACAGGATTATGTGGAACGTGATTAATTTACACCGTACACTTAACGTGAAAACATTGCACTTGGAAACAATGTTTCTTTACTATTTTTTGGACACAATATTGTACAATCTTCTAATAATTCGAATGTCTTGCTCGTGCTTTTCAAAAATTCTTAATTTTTTTCATTTATATTCGATGGGCCGACGTTCTTTAATCGATTAACTGACGGATAATTCAATTTTATCGTTTCAAAATTGCTTAGATTTATTCGAAATACAATGCTCAGACAGTAACTTAGTTGTAATGGCATAATAGTTTGAGCATGTGCTGCCGTCTCTAGGGTCATAAACAGAGCCGTGATGTTTGGATAGCTACGCAACAAATATGTGTCAAAGTCAAAATGAGGCATATCCGGTCCATTAACGTCGTACTGGTTGCCGGGTAAAATGGATGACGGTATCTACTCCTTGTAAAGAATTCATGAATTGTGCAAACTTAGAGTACAAATAGAAAAGTGTCTGTTTCATAAAATAGTGATGAAAATTCAGCCATAGTTTCATAATACGCAAGGAATAAATTCGTATGACAAATTTCCAGTTTTGTTCAGAAAATCGAATTAAAGCATAAACAAAATTGATGTCTTCACTAAGAAATGGACCAAGCGAAACAATACTATAAATTGATCGATTAATTATACTAATCTACTATAACTTACGTTGATGTGCAATAGTGTTGTATTTTGTTTAAATTTTAGACAAAAACAGCCAAGTTTTGGTGGTTAGTCGCCTCGTCTGTCGACAATAAATACATAAAGATACACATACAGACAGATTATGTTAGTGCATGCATATCGGAACTAGAGTAACTACTGTAAACGTCAGAATTGTTGCATTTTGACAGTTGAATGGCAAAAAGAAAAAAAAGATTGTCTATTATAAATTTGCGTATACTATACTACTAACACATGCATTCGTAAGCAGTCCACGTACGTAGTATATGTAAATAGGGCTAACGCGTCTTGCGATTCAGTAAATCCAGTTTATCAATGGACTATACAATTCGTATCAAAACACCTATTGTCATTTGATTACTGTCAAAATGCAGTTTTACTATACTGAGACAAAATAATTATATTTATAAATAGGCACACATCTATATAATTCTACTGACATGCTTTTATAAAAATCCCAGTGCAATATTGTATTAGGTATAATGCTAAAATCATACTGGTTATTAGACAAGCAATAAAACCCACCGTTACTGAGATCACTTTCACTATAACACTAAAATGGCACTTTTGTATTTCAGGCAGTCATCAGCATGACATAAAAACGATATTGCACTTTCACATAAAATCTTATATACAAGCGAATAAACACAAACTACGATATTATATGGCACTAGCGAGAACTACACTACAATATCATAAATATTCACTACACAATAAGTTTTTCTGTCTCTAATTAGAGA